ACTTATCTTCCCTTTGCAATTATTGACAAAATTAGAACCTTCATTGGAGTAACTTTTCTCACTTTCATCCACTTTATAACAACTATCGTGAGTGAGTAATTTAAATAATTTAATAATAATTAATTATTTAATAAAAATAAAAAATTTTAATTTAATTCAAATAACATGAGGTTAAAAATGGTTAAAAATAAAAAAGGACCACCATCCTTCATAAAATAACAAAAATAATACTAATAAAATCAAAAGTTTTTTATTTTGTAATTCAAATTCTACCAAATTATAAAATAAAAATTATTGAATAGATGATGTAACTTTCAATATTAAGAAATCCACTCCAATTCAATGGTTTATGATATACTTGCGGTTTGATTTAGCATGCCTAAGATAACTACGTTTTAATTAGTCTTTGTTTCTTGCCCAATTTTTGAGAGAAGACAATAAGAAACAACCTTTTTCCCACATGCGCATGCAGCAGGTTTCTAAAAAATTGGAGTAATGCGCATAATTATTGGGTTGGATTGGGGAAGCCATGGATTAAGACAACCAGTCCCAATCGGGGGGGGTGGGGGTAAAGTAAGAAAAGAAAATTACTTAAAACATAATGTTCGGTTAATTTTTTGAAGATCCCAATATAAGTTAAATTAAACCTCATAATTTTCTGTCAAGTGTGAGAAAGGTGGTTGGACAATATGTTTGATCACTCATCACATGTGTGTCTCAAAGAATCAAGATGGTACAAAGTATCATTAAATTTGATGCTGTAAGAGTAGAATTTCCTTCGAACCAAAATCCTTCAGAGAAACATGCATTAAACAATAAGTAAATATGGTGGATAAATTAAACATGTTTTTGGAGATGTTTTTGGTTGGAAACAATAAATTTCCCCTTCATTAACAAAATGGCATGTTATTTTAATGTTTACACAACTTAATATCATATATATATATATATATTTGTTAATTTAAGATTTATGAATTAGGGTGTTTTTAAATTAGTTTAT